TCCCACTTCCACAGTGGTGAATCAGGCTCAAGTTCCCGCTTCCATAGTGGTGAATCCAACTCCAGATCCCACTTCCACAGTGGTGAATCAGGTTCCGGTTCCCACTTCCACAGTGGTGAATCCGACTCCGGTTCCCACTTCCACAGTGGTGAATCAGGCTCCGGCTCCCACTTCCACAGTGGTGAATCAGGTTCCGGTTCCCACTTACACAGTGGTGAATCAGGCTCCAGCTCCCACTTCCAAAGTGGTGAATCAGGCTCCAGCTCCCACTTCCAAAGTGGTGTGTGCTGTTCTGCCCCTCCTTAGTTTTTCAGTGTCCCTGGAGGGGCACAACTTGGCCGAGAGTGTGTACTATGCGGATCCATGGGACTGACTTTGCCCCAGAACTTGGATTAGCAGGACAGGGGAAAGAGGGGAGGGTGTCTTGGTGGTGGCATTCCTTGGCAGGCAGATTAGCATGTTTCCACCTGGCCTGCACCTCCTGTCTGCAGTGACCATCCAGCGGGTGATGGCCTACCTGAGCTCTCACTAGGAGCTCCAGTGAGGCAGAGGGGCAAGCATGACACGCACTCACTCAGAGCCGGCATCCTGCCTCGGGCCTTCTGGGCTCCTGGATCTTGTGTACATGGAGCTTTGCAATCATGGTGGATAGTTATCATCTAACTCTTGAAAGACAGGTTGAGCATGAGGATTTTAAGCCAGGCCTAAGAGACGGCTGCCGACAGTGAAGAGGGCGGGCTTTGAGAGCAAGCCGGATCCTCTGCTGTGGTGACCTGAACTTACTGGAGGGTGACCTGAACTTACAAAGTCACTGCCAGCTGAGGCACTGAGGAAGCTTCGTGGCTTCATACATCCGTGCCCCTCGTGTGTCTGTGAGCTTAGGGGGTCTCTGGAAGGGAGGCTGTGACCTGGGAGACATCCTCCACTGAATTAAGGTGCAGCAGGGCAGGACATAGCACCAGGGAGGCTAGGGTCACCTGATCCCCCATGTCTGCTTGGGTGGGCTGCAGGGGTCTGGAGGGAAGAGGTCCTAACACTGAGCTGGGCACTGACATCATCTGCTTGAACTGCCAGTCATCACACTGGCCCTCCCCACTCACTCCTGAGAACCCCTGTGGGCCACTGTGTGTGCCAGGGCACTCCCACAGCGGAAGCAGTTTGTGGTTGTCATAGGCCCAGAGACAGCAGGGTTCCAATTTCAGGGGAGTAGTTTCCTCCGAGGTATCTCGGCAGACTTTCCGGATAAATGTTCTCTCACTGGGGCTCTTCAGCCATCACCGTGTGCTTGCTAGATTCCCTGCCAGGCTAGGGCCCATGCTGGGGAGTGGATCCCCAAAGCCTGAGAGTGGGAATCTAGAGCTAGAAAGCCTTTGGCAGGACCCAGATTTGAGTGAGTTCAGTCAGTGCTGAGGCCATGCGCAAAGCCAGTGAGTGTTAAGACATCTGTCTGCCTCTGTGATGGACTTAGGGACACCCTAGGCAGCCCTCTGGGTAGCCCCTAGCCAGTCCCCTTCCACATGTTTAAAAACACGAGATCCTGGAGGGGCTGGGGAGGGGAGGGCTCCTTTCACTGCGTGCTAGCTGGGAGGCTTGAGCTCAGAAGGGAGAGAGGGTTTCCCTGGCTTTCGGGATGGGCTGCACCTCCTCTGCCTCCCCACCCACCCACCCACCGAGGCTGTGAGACTAGCTCCGGGATTCCTTCTCCAAGGGTCCCTTAGCCAAGAGCCTCTTGGTGGGTTTAACCCCCTAGATACACAGCCTCCCTGTTCTGTGCACAAGCAGGCCTACCAGACCCCAGCCAGGGCTGCCACACCCCAGCCAGGGCTGCCACACCCCAGCCAGGGCTGCCACACCCCAGCCAGGCCTGCCAGACCCCAGCCAGGCCTGCCAGACCCCAGCCAGGCCTGCCAGACCCCAGCCAGGCCTGCCAGACCCCAGCCAGGGCTGCCACACCCCAGCCAGGCCTGCCACACCCCAGCCAGGGCTGCCACACCCCAGCCAGGGCTGCCACACCCCAGCCAGGGCCTCCTCCCTGTCTTGGTTCTGGGAGCCGGTCACAGCTACCCACCACCCCTTCCTTGCTCAGGGCCTCTTCCACTCACATCAGGAGTCTCACAATGGCCTCAGGCCTGCCCGTCAGTGGCCCAGGAAGAAATACCCAGCTAGAGGCCACCCCAGGACCCCCTGTCTTTGTCTTCTCTGGAGCAGTAGAGTGGATGTAAAGAGATGCTCTTGGGCCTGTCGCCTGGGAGCTTGGGGGTCTGGTTAGACTCAGCTTCAGTTTTGATTTCGTCCATTTAACCGGAAGCCCTGGGTGCTCCTGCTAGTGTCCAGGCCACGGTGGCCAACCCTGCCTGTGGGAAGCTTGCGTGGAATATTCCCTGGCCACACTGGTGACTGTGTCTTTCCTTGTCTTCGCAGCTCAGCTCTGCTTTCCGACCACCGCAAAAAGACTCCTCCTCAAACCTGGTCGCCAAGGCCCAGTCCTTGCCCTCGGACCAGCCCATGGGGACTTTCAGCCCTCTGACCACCTCGGACACCAGCAGCCCCCAGAAGTCCCTCCTCCGCACAGGCCCAGCCGCTGGCCCGCTTCCAGGCCGGTCTTCTCCAGTCGGCTCCCCCCGCACTCGGCACGCTCAGATCAGCACCAGCAATCTCTACCTGCCCCAGGACCCCACAGTGGCCAAGGGGGCCCTGGCTGGCGAGGACACGGGCATTGTGACCCATGAGCAGTTCAAGGCTGCGCTCAGGATGGTGGTGGACCAGGGCGACCCCCGGATGCTGCTGGACAGCTATGTGAAGATTGGGGAGGGCTCCACGGGCATTGTGTGTCTGGCCCGGGAGAAGCATTCGGGTCGCCAGGTGGCGGTCAAGATGATGGACCTCAGAAAGCAACAGCGCAGGGAGCTGCTCTTTAATGAGGTGGGAGCCAGGTGGGAACGTCAGCGTCAGCGGGGGCAGTGAGTGTGCAGTGAAGCCGGGCGCCTGGGGGCGACGTGGCAGGACGGCGGGGGGCGGGGCGGGGCGGGGGCGGGGCCGAGGGGCGGGGGGCGGGGCCTGGCCATGGGATACTGTGCCAGGCACTCAGGCCTCTCTCTACCCTCAGGTGGTGATCATGCGTGACTACCAGCACCTCAACGTGGTGGAAATGTACAAGAGTTACTTGGTGGGCGAGGAGCTGTGGGTGCTGATGGAGTTCCTGCAGGGCGGGGCCCTCACGGACATCATCTCCCAAGTCAGGTGGGCAGCCGAGAGGGCTGAGCTGAGGGAGGACCACCCCGCCACTGCCTTGGCGTGGGGATCAGCTGCCTCTGGCCCATAAGGCTAGTCACCTTAGACTCCCTGCCTATTTGGGGGTAACTGTGACTCGGTGGTCTTAGAAAAATGGTTACAGCCTGCTTAAATCGGCTGCTTGGGAATTGTAGGCCCCTTTGCCTGGGTCTCCTCTCTCCTCGGCCCAGCCACCCTGATCACTCGGCTCTCCCATGGGTGGCCTATCTTCTCTGTCCAGGCTGAATGAGGAGCAGATTGCTACTGTGTGTGAAGCTGTACTTCAGGCCCTGGCTTACCTGCACGCCCAGGGTGTCATCCACCGGGACATCAAGAGTGATTCCATCCTGCTGACCCTTGATGGCAGAGTAGGTCCTCCCTTCTCATGGCTCAGCTATTCCCCCGGATCCTCTCTGGCACCCCCTTTCCTCCTGGTCTCTACCCACTTTCTTCTCCACCCCCAGGTGAAGCTCTCAGACTTTGGATTCTGTGCTCAGATCAGCAAAGATGTCCCCAAGAGAAAGTCCCTGGTGGGAACCCCATACTGGATGGCTCCTGAAGTGATCTCCAGATCTCTGTATGCTACTGAGGTAACTATTTCCTCCACCTCCAGGCCTCCCTGGAGAAACTTAGGAACATGTAGCTCCTCTGTCTTGTCCCTCTTAATGGTTCCCGCCACTAATAACCCCAGTTCTGAAGTATCCATTTAACCAGCATCTGCTGGTCCCTTGCCCCCCCTTTTGAGGTAGGGTCTCTCTATGTAGCCCTTGATTTCCTGGGACTCATCATGTAGACCAGACTGGCCTTGAACTCACAGAGATGCCCCTGCCCCTTCCTTGCAAATGCTGGGATTAGAGGCCCTCGCCACCACGGCCAGTCCCACCTCCCCTTTTCGATGGAGTCACTCTTGCGTGGACCCCTCACCGCCAGGAGCAGGCCCTGCCACACACTGCTCTCTTCAGCTCAAGGGCCACAGTGGCATATGGCCAGCGTTCTCCATGAGGGATGGCTTCTATGGTCTCTGGCCACTCAGACAGAAAGGGCTCTGACCTTAGGCCAGCTGGCCAGGGGATGAAGGAGGCAGACTCACTAAGGAGACTTGGAAGGAGACAAGATGCACCATCCAACACACTGCAACACCAGACCCCAGCAACAGAGTCAGGGCTCTTCCCCTGCAGGTGGATATCTGGTCTCTGGGCATCATGGTGATTGAGATGGTGGATGGAGAGCCTCCCTACTTCAGCGACTCCCCCGTTCAAGCCATGAAGAGGCTCCGGGACAGCCCCCCTCCCAAGTTAAAGAACTCTTACAAGGTTGGTTGTTGTGCAAGCTGTGAACTCCCCGGCCTCATGCCCCGGGCCCCTCTCTCCTGAGATAAGAGGATGGGAACATAGGCTTCACGAAAGCAGAGGGTATATCCCCTTGGTCTTCCTCCACACAACACCTGTGCTGGGTACAAAGTCACATTTTATGTACAAACTCCCAGGTTCACGCCAACAAATTCCCACCTGTAGCTGCAGCAGGAGAATCACTTCTTGGCAGGCTCTCGGCAGGAACCCACCCATACTGATGAGGAGGAAGAGTGAGGAAGGACCCTGGGAAGGAATCCAGAGTACAGCTCCTTCCACCCTACTTGTCCGGGGGCCCCATACCAACACAGTGCCATCACGTGAATGGGCTTGTCCGCTTGTATGACACATCCTGACCACAGCTGAACCAAATATCACTACAGCTTCCCGCCCCCCTACCCCCGGACCAGTATATATACTTATTATAATTAACTCTCTCCTGCCAAATCAATCCCCTGCTGGCAGATTGGCACAGGACAGCTAAGTGGTACTGCCACCTGGTGGCCAAAGCCAAGAAAATGTCCTAGAGGATTGAAGCGCAGTCTCTAAATGGCTCCAAGACAGCCTGATCCTTGGAGACTGCTGTGCTAAGCCTGAGATGAGCAGGTCCCGAAAGAAGAGCGCTCATCGGTGAACTGCCCCAAGGAGGCAGCCTTCTATAGCATCCTAAGACAGCCTTTTAGATCTGGAACTGGATCACGGGTGCCAGTTCCATGCCCCTTTCACAGAGCTGCAGAGCCTGAATGCCAAGAGCCCCCCCCCCCCC